GTCCTCCTTCTGCTGCATTGACAACATCCGCCATGTAGAACATAAAAATGTGATAAAAAATTCAATTGTATTGAAACCTGTGAGAAAATAACACTACATGTAAAAGAAAACATGGTGCTTTGATATTAATTATACTGCATCATGCATTTGTTTCGACCGTCTAGGACTCGTCAGTAATGCTAAGTGCCTAAATTTTGAAGCCTAGGAGGCGACTCAGGAAATTTCCAAAGTGATCGAAAGAAACGTAAAAATCTAGATGGGGAGGTGTAATGGCCCCATTGATCAATGTGGTTATTTTCATATATCTGATAATTAAAATGTTAATTTACGTGTACATGTTGCTTATTATTTGTGTGGGTATACCATTGCACGGTTTTACGAATTCGGGTTTTTATAATCTGAATTTATGTATGTTAATTGACAACTGACATACATAATTGTGATGGTCAGCAAAAACCATTTATTAGGTTACTGGATCATTTCAACAAACACTCAATACAAGTGTTTACTAATAACAATTAATGGATAAAAAAACTAAAGTAGACTGTCATAGTGATAATATCAATGTTGATATCGCAGATATTATATTACCCGGATCAAAATTCCTGATCACTCATATCCGATGCATGTTAGCGATATCAAAACATTTCTTTGAAAATGAACGGCTTCGGTTGAAATTGTTGACGATCAGAAATTTCATATCTTCATTTTCAAATTTTTCCCCCATAACAGTGATAGAATCGTGTTTCATCGTGTGATAAGAAAATTCAATTTGTTTGATGGTCGTTAGTTTGCCTTGTAGGTTCGTTGTTATTTAACCGACATTCATCTTGAGAGCTTGCCATTTTTGCAATTGATTACGGTTAATGTTGCCGGCGTCTTCAATAAATCACGGACCATGTGATTTGTGTGGAATAGTGACTTAGATCAACAAGAGAGATGCTGCTTAGAAAATGGTAGTCTTTTAGTAGAATAAACAGTTTACCATACACGTTAGCTTTCATAGCGGCATTTCCTGGATGATGGTCTTTATTCATGTACCAGATCAGACAGGTTTCGCATAAACGTTTAATCTTATTTAAATGTATACATACACAGTTCATATTTTTGTCGCACTAATATTTTTCCATCCTTTCAGGGGCCGCGATTGCCAAGGGAGTCAAGGCCTCTGAGTGGCTTTATCAAACTCGGGGTCGCGGGTTCGAGGCCTTACGTAGGGAAGTCGCCAGATAATGACTGCAGGTCGGTTGTTTTCCTTCTGGAAATCCGGCTTTCTTCCACCAACCAAACTTGGCATGTCCTTAAATGACCCCAGGCTGTTAATAGGACGTAAAGCAACAATAATCAAAACCAATGTTTTCCTTCAGAATCATTGATGTCGTGTTTACAGGGTGAAGATTATCTAAGTACATATCTCAAAGAAAACAACACGTGATCAGGTAAACAATATAAAATAGACCCATTACATGAGATACACATTGGCCCTTTAGGAATCTTTTGATAAACATCACAACCAGATGTGGATTGAATATTGACGGGAATGCAAGTCTTTTATCGCGTTGAAATGTCACATATGCTCATATATCTTAAAATAAGATATCGGTTCACTGAATGTACGCCTAATTTGATGTGAAGACATCCGAGATGTAAAGCGTGCCTTGTCGTAAGTAGGCGAGACCAGAAACACTCGTTTCGATTCATCATTTTTCTTTGTACTTAAATGTTTTTATTCTTATTCTTGGTATCCACCCAGTTGTATGGATCAATGACTCCTTCTTCGCTTTATTCATCTTTTATAAATAGTATTTTATTGTCATGCCTTTTTTCTAATATTCAGACTCCCTGTTGTACATGTATGCATTTCACCGAAACCAGACGTACACCAGCGTGTTGTTCAAAGGGTAAACATGTGAAAAGTACATTTCAATACAAACATTTAACACCGTTACACAACTGTTTCATTCTTCTAGGTTTCATCAGAGCCTTATGGGTTGAAATTCAGGAGGCAATTCAGGCAAGTTGGTCGAAATCAAATTAGTAGAATGGCATCTCACTTTCTTTTAATGTACATTTCTTCTCAGTTGTTTTCACTAAATCAATCAACATGTATTGTTCTATCCATGCATTACGTTTCATCTTGATTTATCGGTATGGAAACTTGGGATTCGTTACGGGTTGCATCTGGATATCGTATCGAGTAAGAATCGATTTCTAACATCCTGTACAGGTATGATGAGACACTATTCAGAATACTAACATACTCGAAAGTGCTCGACATTCGTTTGTTTGCAATTATCCAATATTTTGATATGAAATTAATCAATTGTGGGATTAGTGTACCTTCACATCATATTCGGATTTCCCCGTCACCTACAAGATTTTAATAATTTAGACCCTCAGCATCACTGACGAGGCTTAGAAGGACGAAACTTGCCGTAATGTGCAGTTCGGTTCATTGTTCGTTTCTCCTTTGGTCTAAGTTTGAATTGAAATGTGTGTTTTGTACAATATCTTCCTCAGCACTTTGAAGATGTTAGACACAGCAGATAGACGTTTAGTCCTTGTGATTCAACGTAGCCGACAAACCACGTTTAGACCAATGGAAATAGTAGCACGATTAAGAATATAGACACACACTTGTCGTTCTGATGAAATCATTCGAAATAAAATTTTAATGAAATTTATTGAAATTTGAGTTTAGTGCATCTCCTCAATTTAGATTTTCTCAGTTACCTCCTAGGTTTCAACCATTTAGACCCTTATCTGACTGGATAATCCTAAGAGGACGAAACAGTGGTATGGTGCTGTTCAATTCATTATTTCACTCTGCTGTATTGAAAAGTGCTATTCACTTATGTGTCTTTCATGTATACAGATAAGGCATTCATTGTATAGAAAAGGAAGATTTGTTAATTTTTTTTTCTTCTTCTTCTTTCTTCTTCTTCTTCTTCTTCTTTTTTCGCTCTAACGATGTCACAAAGCTACATCCGTGACGTAATTTGGAAGAGCAATCCAGTTTCATAGATTGTATGCTGTTGTTTCAATTGTTTTAAGTGTGCATCAGATGATAAATAAAGAGCGATCCTAATGTAGAACTTTACGGTAGTGTCCTTGGGTGGATCCGTTTATAGGATTCAATAGAGTTCTTTAACAAAAAAAACATAATTAGCAAAAAGAAATTCCACACAAGGAAGACGTTCTGTGAGATTTGCCTGCTTGTTTTGGCCGCTGTGCGTAGATTAAGAATACTCCCAATAATCAATTATAATAATAATCGGACGAAACTTGTAGACGAATCTCACAAAACGTCTTCCTTGTATTTCGTTTCCATTTTTGGTAATTAAATGTGCAAAAGAAAAATTTTACTGTAAATTCTTAAGTAAGTAAACAAGGAAGTCTAGCTGTGGTTTCTATTACGTTTCGACGTCTGTTCGAATTCTATGTTTTAATCACTATAACTTAAAGTCTTTTTTTTCAGAATTTGATTTTTTTTTCATTAATCAATAAATTTTTCTTTCATTTCGATGATTTGCGTTACCAATTGCTTGCGAAAAATACGTTATGAAATGAGATCGGTATCATATTTGTTTTATTAAATGACTGTCGCCATGTAATAATTTAACTGTATGTAATAATGCTATGTACTTCAAAGACAGTCTGAAATGTACATGAAGTTCTACCTATATGTTCCCGAAGGTTTAAATAAAATCAATTTAAAGACAAATTCTATAGTGAGGGGTTGTTGGTCAATGTTAATATTGAGTCCTTGAATGACTTACTAAAATGTCATTCTAGCATAAATTTCTATATCTAGTGACATTTTTCTTCTTCCATTTGGTCAGTATATGTCAGGATGTAATGACAGTGTAGCACAACCAAATTTCTGACTGTTAATGAAAAAACCGCTATAGTATACTTGTATCTTTTATTGTTGCTGGGTTGATACTGCAAAGTCATATATATTTGTGGGGCTCAATTTAAATAGTTTATCAAAAAAATCATGAACTCGTGGACAATTGATTTTTCGGATATATCTCAATAAATCTACTGAAAATAATTTTTCGGTAGATCACGTGACATATCAATTCTTGGATTAATATCGCAACGAAATTCAACGAAAATAAATTCCGCGCGAAAATGAATGACTTTACAGTACGAGGATAACCAGTGAATTAGATTCTAGGATAAACAGCAACTAATCCTTTATCTATTTTACAACACTTCGTCCCTGGTTCACTTAAAATTCTTAAAGGATAAAACAACAGTTTCCTTGCTTGAATTCTTAAGGCCTTAATTCTATGTTCCTTGTACAATAGTTGCTTTGTTCTTCGTTGTGCCAATAAGAACTTGTTTTTGTCCGTTTTCTTTTCTCCCTCTCATAGCTTTCCTTTTGAAGACAACCTTCTGTTCCCCATTCTTCATATAACTTTGGCTGTTGCGAGTAAATATACCTTTACACGTGCAGTTAATATTGATAGATATGTCCAAATAAATCTACTTATATGAATCTTAAACATTTTATAGACATATGAATTCGTAGATTAAGAATACCTACAATAATCAATGAAAATTAGCCCCCACGAAAATTAATGGTATTGCAGTAATTGTTTACGTATTAACGAACGATAATGAAAGTAGTGATTAATATGCAGATCGTAATCAGTAATACCTCATAATTATGTCAAATAAATCAATTTAACCGTAAATAGCTACGTGATGAAGTCATCAATCATGATCGCCCTAATCACAGTTGACGTCTGATTTATGACACTGATTTCAATTTACTCTGTCAGATATTTCAATAATATTTTGATATGAAACGCACGGTGAAACGAAAGAGCTTTCACTGAAATATAAGTAGGCTCGAATTAGATTCTGGCGTCTTCACGATCAATTCATTCGTGTATATCACTTTACATTTCTAAAGTCACAGTGTTCTTTACAACACAAATGGTTTGATTTGGAAATCGCTGGCTGCAAAATATTCATTATCAATCCAGGAGGTGTATACGTTGACAGAGGGCGGAAGACTCAACCGTACTGTAGATTCAACTGTACAAATCATGTACAGAGTGAAAGAGAGCGGAAAAATACCGCAGATGTATACATACCGTGACGAAGGATTCAACAGTACCGAAGATGTTTACCGTGACGGAGGACTCAATAGTACCGAAGCTGTATACAGTGACGGAGGACTCAATAGTACAGAACGTATATACAGTGAGGGATGACTCAATAGTACCGAAGGTGTTTACAGTGACGGAGGACTCAATAGTACCAAAGGTGTTTACAGTGACGAAGGACTCAATAGTACCGAAGCTGTATACAGTGACGGAGGACTCAATAGTACAGAACGTATATACAGTGAGGGAGGACTCAACAGTACCGAATCTGTATACAGTGAGGGATGACTCAATAGTACAGAACATATATACAGTGACAGAGGACTCAATAGTACCGAAGGTTTATACAGTGACGGAGGACTCAATAGTAATGAAGGTTTATACAGTGACGGAGGACTCAATAGTACCAAGGGTTTATACAGTGACGGAGGACTCGACAGTACCGAAGGTTTATACAATGACGGAGGACTTAATAGTACCGAAGGTTTATACAGTGACGGAGGACTCAAAAGTACCGGAGGTGTTCACAGTGGCGGAGGACTCAATAGTACCGAAGGTGCATACAGTGAAGATGGACTCAATAGTACTGAAGGAGTATACAGTGACGGAGAACTCAATATTACTGAAGCTGTATAGTGTGACGGAGAACTCAATACTACCGAAGGTGTTTTCAGTGACGGAGGACTCAGCAGTATCGAAGGTGTATACAGTGACGGAGGACTCAATAGTACCGAAGGTTTATACAGGGACGGAGGACTTAATAGTACCGAAGGTGTTTACAGTGACGGTAGGCGGAGGACTTTATAGTACCGAAGCTGTCTACTGTGACGAAGGACTCAATGGTACTGAAGGTGTATACAGTAACGGAGGACTCAATAGTACCGAAGCTGTATACTGTGACGGAGGACTCAATAGTACCGAAATTATATAGAATGAGGGAGGACTCAATAGTACCGAGGCTGTATACAGTGACAGAGGACTCAATAGTACCGAAGCTGTATACTGTGACGGAGGACTCAACAGTACCGAAATTATATAGAATGAGGGAGGACTCAATAGTGCCGAGGCTGTATATAGTGACAGAGGACTCAATAGTACCGAAGGTGTTTACAGTGACGGAGGACTCAATAGTACCAAAGGTGTTTACAGTGACGAAGGACTCAATAGTACCGAAGCTGTATACAGTGACGGAGGACTCAATAGTACAGAACGTATATACAGTGAGGGAGGACTCAACAGTATCGAATCTGTATACAGTGAGGGATGACTCAATAGTACAGAACATATATACAGTGACAGAGGACTCAATAGTACCGAATGTTTATACAGTGACGGAGGACTCAATAGTAATGAAGGTTTATACAGTGACGGAGGACTCAATAGTACCGATTCAGTGACGGACTCAAAAGTACTGAAGGTGTTTACAGTGACGGAGGACTCAAAAGTACTGAAGGTGTTTAAAGTGACGGAGGGCGGGGGACTCAATGGTACTGAAGGTGTACACAGTGACGGAGGACTCGACAATACCGTAGTTATATACAGTGACGGAGGACTCAAAAATTCGAAGGCATATAGAGGGGCGGGGGATTCGACAATACCGTAGTTATATACAGTGACGGAGGACTCGACAATACCGTAGTTATATACGGAGACGGAGGACTCGACAGTATCGTAGTTATATACGGAGACGGAGGACTCGACAGTACCGTAGTTATATACGGAGACGGAGGACTCGACAGTACCGTAGTTATATAAAGTGACGGAGGACTCGACAATACCGAAGGTTTATACAGTGACGGAGGACTCAATAGTACCAAAGGTGTTTACAGTGACGAAGGACTCAATAGTACCGAAGCTGTATACAGTGACGGAGAAGGTTTATACAGTGACGGAGGACTCGACAGGGATACCGAAGAACATATATACAGTGACAGAGGATCAATAGTACCGAATGTTTATACAGTGACGGAGGACTCCACAGATTCGAAGGTTTATACAGTGACGGAGGACTTAATAGTACCGAAGGTTTATACAGTGACGGAGGACTTAATAGTACCGAAGGTTTATACAGTGACGGAGGACTCGACAGTACCGTAGTTATATACAGTGACGGAGGACTCGACAGTACCGTAGTTATATACAGAGACGGAGGACTCGACAGTACCGTAGTTATATACAGAGACGGAGTACTCAACAATGCCGTAGTTATATACGGAGACGGAGGACTCGACAGTACCGTAGTTATATACGGAGACGGAGGACTCGACAGTACCGTAGTTATATACAGTGACGGAGGACTCGACAATACCGAAGGTTTATACAGTGACGGAGGACTTAATAGTACCGAAGGTTTATACAGTGACGGAGGACTCAATAGTACCGAAGGTTTATACAGTGACGGAGGACTTAATAGTACCGAAGGTTTATACAGTGACGGAGGACTTAATAGTACCGAAGGTTTATACAGTGACGGAGGACTTAATAGTACCGAAGGTTGATTCAGTGACAGAGGACTCGACAGTACCGAAGGTTTATACAGTGACGGAGGACTTAATAGTACCGAAGGTTTATACAGTGACGGAGGACTCGACAGTACCGAAGGTTTATACAGTGACGGAGGACTTAATAGTACCGAAGGTTTATACAGTGACGGAGGACTCAATAGTACCGAAGGTTTATACAGTGACGGAGGACTTAATAGTACCGAAGGTTTATACAGTGACGGAGGACTCGACAATACCGAAGGTTTATACAGTGACGGAGGACTTAATAGTACCGAAGGTTTATACAGTGACGGAGGACTCGACAGTACCGTAGTTATATACAGAGACGGAGGACTCAACAATGCCGTAGTTATATACAGAGACGGAGGACTCGACAGTACCGTAGTTATATACAGAGACGGAGGACTCGACAGTACCGTAGTAATATACAGAGACGGAGTACTCAACAATGCCGTAGTTATATACAGAGACGGAGGACTCGACAGTACCGTAGTTATATACAGTGACGGAGGACTCGACAGTACCGTAGTTATATACAGAGACGGAGGACTCGACAGTACCGTAGTTATATACAGTCGTAGTTATATACAGAGACGGAGGACTCGACAGTACCGTAGTTATATACAGTGACGGAGGACTCGACAGTACCGTAGTTATATACAGAGACGGAGGACTCGACAGTACCGTAGTTATATACAGAGACGGAGGACTCGACAGTACCGTAGTTATATACAGAGACGGAGGACTCGACAGTACCGTAGTTATATACAGAGACGGAGGACTCGACAGTACCGTAGTTATATACAGAGACGGAGGACTCGACAGTACCGTAGTTATATACAGTGACGGAGGACTCGACAGTACCGTAGTTATATACAGAGACGGAGGACTCGACAGTACCGTAGTTATATACAGTGACGGAGGACTCGACAATACCGTAGTTATATACAGAGACGGAGGACTCAATGATATCGACGGAGGACTTAATAGTACCGTAGCTGTATACATTGACAGATGATGAAAGGCTGAACAGATCAGATCGAAGAAAACCCGCTTACATACATGCCCTGTGGCTTTTACATGTCTTAGTTTATTCGATATACAATAACTTGATTAATGATTAATTATAAATTATCATTCAATCCGGGTTCTCATAGAAAAAAAATCATCGTTTTCTCAATGTGAAAATACCGATTATTTATTGACTTGTACTTGTAACTAAAAATTGTCAGCTCAGTCTTCCATGACTTCTCTGAACTGCTTACCAAACAATGTATTAAAATATGTTTAAATGAATAAATAAAAAAATTGTTATTCATCTCATTAGTAAACAAATTGTGACTGATTTATCTGAGTTAATTTAAATATTAAGAATATTAATGAGCAATATATTACCTCATCTTTGTAACCACAATCGTAATCAGTTACAAAAACGGACATTATAATTATGTTTGAATGTCAAAACTTAATTACATTTACATGTCTTTTTAGTGTGCACCGTAACTGTCACTCAATAAATAAAAGGAAAAATAGGACAACGTAAGATAAAAAATTTATTACGGCTGAAAATGATATTCAGAATTATAAATCTACAAGATAGATTATAATATAAAATTAAAATTAGAAAATTTTAAATGATGTATGTTGTTCTTTTTGAAAGTTAAATTATGAATTATATGAATTTATCTGCTATAACGTGTATATAAAACAAACTGATTTGCATAAGTAAATAAGGTACTGAATAATACATAACAATGAAAATCGATATTCATGTCTAACTTTGTTGTATTGCTATTTGTTTACAAGCTAATATGACAGATACTGGGTAAATAATGTGATGAATGTTTGTTAAGGTATAGGAGTTGTGTATATACAACATCAATATCATTAATCTACACTTCCTTTTAATAATTATGTTTAAATTTGCATCTTAATTTAATTTGAATCCGCAATATAGAATACAAATAATAAATATGTATCTTATCTGCATGCAAATGAGTTTGTTATCGTGATAAAGGTTGCGTCTATCGGCGCCTAATAAACAAAAAAAGGTTATGTGAATACATTTCTTGTCACATAGTGTATATTGTATTCTACTAGAAATATATCATTAAAGTTACTTTGATCTATTTGTATATAGTTTAATAGTATATTACTAAAATTAACCAACCATTCAAAAATTTGTCTAAAACCTTACTGCTCAGTGACAACGTATGTGTACATTTTAAATCTGTGTCTGTTCCGATTTCCCTGTTATATATTTATAATAGGAAATATCTTCTGTAACTGTACTGTATTTCATGGATTACGTTTGTTTCATCGTAAATATTGCATCATTTTCTGCGTAGTGACAATTCAGGCCATCAGCATCACTAGCGAGTCCTAGGAGGACGACCCGGATGTATAATGCAACATCACTGATAAATCCTAGAAGGATGAAACAGTTGTATGATGTAATTTCGCTGACGAGTTCTAGAAGGACGAAACATCGGTATGGTGCAGTATCATCGACGAGTCCCTAGAAGGACGAAACAGTTGTATGATGTAGCATCATTGAAGAGTCCTAGAAGGACGAAAGTGGTGTATGATTTAGCATTACTGACG